CCCTTATTCTCTTTTTCAAGTAAATAAATCAAAAGCCGCAAATTCCCGCGTGCAAATATTAAACTTTAATTTCTTTTAAATAAGAATAAAAAAAAAAAAAAAAAAAAAAAAAGAATACCAGATTTTTCAGACGAATGCTGTCAGACATTAATAGGACACAACATTTTGAAACCGACAATAATTAAGTATACGATACTAGTACATTCTAATCTAGTATGATTTCATTCGAATCTAGTACAATAGGTTTTAAAATTTCATTCAACAATAATTAAGTAGAGTAGTGAAAGATTGAATCTTTAAACTTTTTTAAGAAACTAGTGTGTTTTCTTATCTATCAACATCGTCGGTTTTAAACTAAAATTAAAGCCCCCATCGGTGAATATAATGAAATAAGTTAGTAAATCTTAAACCATAATGGAATAATCCAAGTTTGGTTTAAATTAACAGCAATTATTATGAATGCAAGTCCGATTAGAAAAGAATCTAAAGGTAATCAGTTGTAATTGTAGAGTCGAAACCTTTGTACACAAGAAGGAGTTGGTACTTTAGAACGTTAGTTGACGTTAAGTCTGCTTTTGTATGATTATATATATATATCCTAGCTAAACGATAGCTAGCAGAGTTGGTTTGGACTTAATATTTTCGGAAGAACGGTCATAGGTAGGAAGGGATTTAGTATGGATCAGGAGTAGCAAGCGTGGCAAGTCTTCAATCTTATATCTTCTTGGCTATGTATTTGCTATATATTTGACATTTTATTTTTTTTTGTAATTGGTGGCAAAGCCATTTTGTTGTTTTTGTAATTCTCACGCTACATATTTGACATTTTATTGTTTTTGTAATTGGTAGCAAACTTTTCAACCATTTTATTGTTTTTGTAATTGATTGACGAGTAAATGCTAGTCTTCTCACGCTACATATTTGACATTTTATTGTTTTTGTAATTGATAGCAAAGCAAATTCTGAGCTTCTCAACCATTATATTGTTTTTGTAATTGGTTTTCCGAGTAAATGCTAGTCTTCTCGCACTATATATTTGACATTTTATTGTTTCTGTAATTGGTAACAAAGCAAATTCCCATTTTGTTGTTTTTGTAATTGGTAATTAGTTGCCGAGTAAATGCTAGTCTTCTCACACTATATATTTGACATTTTATTGTTTCTGTAATTGGTAACAAAGCAAATTCCCATTTTGTTGTTGTTGTAATTGGTAATTATTCCCGAGTAAATGCCAGTCTTCTCACGCTATATATTTGACATTTTATTTTATTTGTAATTGGTAGCAAAGCAAATCCTGATCTTCTTAACCATTTTATTGTTTTCGTAATTGGTTGCCGAGTAAATGCTAGTCTTCTCACACTATATATTTGACATTTTATTTTGTAATTGGTAGCAAAGCAAATCCTAACTTCTCATTGTTTTTGTAATTAGTTGCCGAGTAAATGCTAGTCTTCTCACACTATATATTTGACATTTTATTTTGTAATTGGTAGCAAAGCAAATTCTATCTTCTCATCCATTTTATTGTTTTCGTAATTGGTTGCCGAGTAAATGCTAGTCTTCTCACACTATATATTTGACATTTTATTTTATTTATAGCAAAGCAAATCCTAACTTCTCATTGTTTTCGTAATTGGTTGTCGAGTAAATGCTAGTCTTCTCACGCTATTATATTTAACATTTATTTTTTCTGTAATTGGTAGTAAAGCAAATTTCAAAAGTTCATAAATTCGACCAAATTGTTGTATATTGCTTAAATTGAATCAATGATCCCTATAAAAATGGATTTGTGCTAAATTTGTGCCAAACGGGCTAATCATACGATATTTGTTTATCAAATTTTATTGTATGATTAGCCCGTTTGGCACAAATTTAGCATAAACCTTTTTTATAGGGTGAAAGATTAGTTTAAAATCGACTATTGTTATAACGTACCTAATTTTTCATACTTGATATTCAATATACTGATACAGTCAAACTCCGATATAAAGATTGAAAAATATTGTTATACCGATATTTATATATATATTCTCTCATATAATGGGAAAGTAAAATTTTATCGGGTTTTTAATATCTGTATATCGAATATTGTTATAACGTACCTAATTTTTCATACTTGATATACCGATATTCAATATACTGATACAGTCAAACTCCGATATAAAGATTGAAAAATATTTGTTATACCGATATTTATATGTTCTCTGATATAATGGGAAAGTAAAATTTTTTATCGGGTTTTTAATATCTGTATATCGAATATCGGTATATCGATTGATCGATATAATGACAAAAATTTATAAGTTTTAATATAACAAATTATATATGTTCATACTATATAAAAAAAATTGCTATTTATATTGAGTTCTGACTTTATATTAAAAATTCGACGTAACCAATGTATATCGATATTTATTTTTTCAAAGGGATTTTCATATCGGAAATTTGATGATCATCGGCATTGTAAATCATTCTTTGAAAAATTGATTTTATTGGTCTTAAATGAAAGGTCCCATAACTTTTTATAAATTTTATATGGAAACGTAAATGAAAGATCATAGATTTTATAAATTTTATATAAAGAAATGTAAATGAAGGATCTGATAACTTTTATAATTTTATATAAAGAAAGAATGAACAACCTTTCATAGGTAATAATTTATAGTAAGACAGGAAAATTTTCTCAAAATGAATATAATTTTTTATGCACTTGGTTGTTGCCGAAAAAATTAAAAAGAAATTAATATATTTGGAAATCATGATAAAGATATAAATTATATGTATATATTTTTTACATTCAAACTTTTTAACGGGTTTATAACCCTACCTAACTCCGTTTGTAATTTATATTTCTTATTTGATGAATAAATATGGATAATTTAATGGCTCCTTAATAATTTTCATATTGCATCCCCTTAGACCACGTGTCCTCCTTTTTATGCATTGAATGTAATGCAATCCGGGCAATCCTTTAAATTCATATGAGCAACTTTAATTGAAAGAAAACGATGAAAGAAGTCAGTGTAACAGAAATATTTTCTAATGTGAACAATATTACTTCCATTCAATATTATTTCCTTTTAACATTAATTTAGTTTTAATATATTGATTTCGTTTACATGATTATGAGTGATAATTTTATCCGAAAAAATGAACACTAAATCAATTTAAAAGAATACCGTAGTTTGTATATGTTTAGTATACAGTAAAGTAATATTTCATCCGACATATCTGACGTTTAATATCTTATGTAATAAAGTAGATCAAACAATGTGTCGGGATTAACCGTGCCGTGTTTTCTTCGATCCGGATCCACTTTTATAAAATGTTATAAAATGTTATAAATCTTTTAAAGGTAAAAAAAAATAATAATAATTAATTGTATATTAAAGGTTATTATTTTCCAAATGTTTCAAAAAAAAAAAAAAGAAAAAGAAATCAATAATATTAATTTAAAAAACTTACGATTAATCCGTTATATTCTTTTTTGATTTAGATTGGTTCACATTGAATTTCCAAATTAGTCGATTTTTAAAGAGGAATTATTTGTTTAACGTAAATTAATATATATAAACAAATTATGTAATTTTTATAAATATCTATCCAATAAATATAAATACAGTGAAAAAAAAAAGGATAAAGAATCGTAAAATTTTTTTTTTTAAAAAAAATTGATTTATTATAAATATTGTAAATAAATCTCTTTGTATAATATCTCTATTATTTCTCCAATATCTCCAATATTATAAACACACATCATTATAATTCCTTTTGTTTTTAAAATATGGGAAATCATTCTTCTAAAACTACAAATTATTATACGTGTAATTATCATGTAATGTTTTCTTCACAAAAATTAATAACAAAAAATAAAATGGATTTTGATGAAAGGGAACATTTAGGACATGTCATAATAAGAGAAATATTTGAAAAAAATTTCTCTTCTAATGTTCATGATATATTAAATCGGGATACGAAAATCTTGGATATTGGGTAAATGATTTATAAATTTATTAATTTATTATAATTTTTAAAATCCAAAATTTTTAAAATCCAAATTGTTTTATATTTATTAATTATTTTTTATTTTATATAATCATCGCGTTTTCAAAGGTGTGGTTCCGGATTCTGGTTAACAGAAATGGCAGCCGATTTCCCAAAACCTAGTTATATTGGTGTCGATATGTTACCAGTATTTCCTACATCTACAGTTCCAAGTAACATAACATTTAAACAACTTAATCTATTAGAAGGATTACCTTTTGAAGATAATACATTCGATTTTATTCATATGCAATTTTTAGCATGTGATTTTACCGAATTACAATGGGAAACCATCGTATATAAAGAACTTGCACGTGTTCTTAAACCAGGTGGATGGTTAGAAATATGTGATCCTGAATTTGAATTTTATAATAGTGGACCAACTGCCAAACAAATAAATTCCGCAGGTAAAAAAAGAAATTATTAAATCACAATCACACTTTCCACTTTCACACTTTTTTAATAAAACCTTTTTAAATTTTTTAGTATGTACTTATTTAAGATCAAGAAATGTAAATCCATTAATAGTTCAACGTCATCGATCGCTCATTGAATCAATTCCATCATTTTCATCATCTATTGTTTATCACGAAAAAAGACATTTTCCGTTAGGACCATATGCAAATAAATTAGGAATATTAGGAGGATTTCTTACAGTTAAATGTTGTAAAGATATTTTATTAGGACCAGTTGGTAAAATTGCAAAGATAAATACCGACATTAATGATATTCTTACACGTGAATTTGATTCACATAACACTTATTTCCTTGTTCATAGATTTTATGTTCAAAAAAAGAAATGATTTTTATTTGTGAGCCATTTTTACTCGGGATTTTTTTTTATTTTTTTTATTTTTTATTTATTTTTATTGTTGTTATATAATATTATTATATTATATTATATTATATTATATTATATTATATTATATTACAAACGTAACAAATTTTATAAAATAAGATTTTTAATATGTAAATATTGTTTTGATAAATATTGTTTTGATAAGGCGTTTATATTACGACTAAAGGTGTCTCAAGGGTAACTAAACTATTTCAGCCGTTTCATACATGGCGTATAATAATACTTTCGTAAATAATACAATCAGGTAAATTACAAGGGTACCATATATAAAGTAGGTATTAAACGCGACTTTACCATAAATAATTTGCACAATAAAAAAGAAAGAAAAAAAAAGGAAGATTGCATTTCCTTGTCTAATTTATCTTTATTGTCTGATAGTCATTATAAATGATTGGTTCAAAAATGCAAACCTTTTTTTTTTTTTTTTTGAATGAATAAATATTTTCTTTTTGTACTTTATAAATAAATCAAAGTTTAATAAACTTTGATAAAACTTTAAATTTTTAAACTGGGAATTTTCTATTTATAATAATAATATTATTTATTATATTGTTATATTTTTTTAAATTATTGTGAAATTTTTCACAAATTTGATTAAATTTGATTGAAATTTGATCTGTAAAACGTCCAAACTATGAAACTTTATTTCGAACACTTTTATCGAAAATTATATAATAATTATAATAATTATAATAATTTAATATATTTGTGGATCTTTTATATTGAAAATGAAGTTTTTAAAGATAATTTTCATTTTAATCATTTTTAAATCATTTTAATCATTTTAATCTTTTTTTTTTTATTAAAAGTTTTTTATTAAAAGTTTTTTATTAATAAAGAAGACGATGAATAAATTAAATTATATAATCATTTGAATTAATTTCCCTATTAAGTAGTAAACCCGAAATTCTTGTAAAATCAGTATATCCTTATTTAGAAAATTATAACCTGTTTAATATTATTAGAGATAAGAATATTTTGATTGTACCATTTTAAAAAAGAAATAATAGAATTGAAATTAGAACTAGATCGTTTCTGATCGTTCTTTTAAAAGAATTATTATTATATTACAATCTATAAAGTTATATATTATGTTATAATTTATAAAGTTGTATATTATATTATAATTTATAAAGTCGTATTTTTAAAAAAAAAAATTTGTTTTTTTTTTCAAAAAAAAAAATATATAATAAAAAATATTTGAGGTAATCTTAATTTATTTATTTATTTTTTTTTTATTATTATTATTTTTTTTTTTATTTTTATTTTTATTTTTATTTTTTTTTTTTTGCGGAGTAATAATCATTCTTTTTGACGTGCAATTATATTACCTATTTTTAGTTATTATCTTGGGCATTAACCAGTATTAAATATGTGCCAAGAAATTTTGAGAATTATAATTGGATTATAATTGGTTCTATTATTTTATTTGAAAAAATAATATTCAGCTGATAAATTCAAAATGATCCGTTAAATGCGTTTTTAGTTATATGTGTTAGTAAGTTTTTGTTAGTTATGCGACTTTATGCGTACTAGTTATGTCATATTAGTTATATGCGTATTGGTTATGCGTATTTTAGTTATGCTTGTTATTAGTCCCTTAAATTGATTAACTTTTTTTGATCCCTGAATAGCTTTGATGATCAAATTCAACGGAAAAAAACGAAAGAATATTATGGGCATGAAATAAATTATGCGCTAATACAAATTTTGGTTAGTGTAGTTATTTCTTTTTTTGATTCTTTTATAAAAGTGGAAATTTTTTTTTTATATAAATATAAAGCTAACCCTTTGTTTAACTTACATAATAACGTTGAATATATAACATTGAATACAAAACATTTATCGTACATTGTGATAATAATATTTACTCGGCCTACTTATTATTATTATTATTATTATTATTATTGTACCCTTATTATATACCTTTTATATACCTTTATTATACCTTTATTATACCTTACTATACCTTACAATACCTTATTATACCTTACAATACCTTATTATAACCATACCTTATTACCCTTATTACCTTTCCTTTATTTACTTTTATACCATGGGAAAATATTTTTCTAAAGAAAAAAATAAAACAACTAAACCATGTATAAATTCTCATGAAGTTTTCTCTCGTTCTTATGAAAGTAAAGATGATTATAATGAAGGTGAACATTATATTCATATTGCAACGAGAGATATATTTAAAGTAAATTTTTCTTCGGATATTCAAAATGTTTTATTAAATCCTAATACAAAAATTTTAGATGTTGGGTAATTATAATTAAAATCACTTTTTTTTTTTAATAAAACGCTATTATATATATTAACGGACTAACATTTTTTTNTTTTTTTTTTTTTTTTTTTTTTTTTTTTACATTAATAACTGAATAACTGAATAACCGAATAACTGAATAAATGCTATACATTATTACCACACTACACTATACATTTACGTTATACGCTAATAAATCGCCATACATCAACGAATAAATCGAATAAATCGTTATACATCATCGAATAAATCGATATATCGAATAAATCGCTATACACACACTACACACACTTAAGTTGTGGGTTCGGATTCTGGTTAACGGAAATGGCATCAGACTTTCCAAAACCTAGTTACTTCGGGATTGATATTTTACCAATATATCCAAAATCTACATTTCCAAATAATATCACATTTCAACAACATGATATTTTAAAAAGATTACCTTTTGAAGATAATTCATTTGATTTCATTCATATACAATTTTTAAATTTTGATATAACTGAATTACAATGGGAAACAATTGTTTTTCAAGAACTTGCACGTATTCTTAAACCAGGTGGATGGTTAGAATTTTGTGAAATGGAATATGGAATTTTAAATTATGGTCCTTTATCCAAACAATTTGATTTAACAAGTAAATAATTTTTGAATAATATTTAATCATAATAACCAAATTTTAATTTATTTTAATTTATTTTTTTTTTATTTTTTTTTTTTTTTAGTGATAAATTATTTAAGGACAAGAAATGTTAATCCACAAATAATTTTACGTAGTCATTCAATATTGAAATCAATTCCATCATTCTCATCATCACATATACATCATAAAAGACGGAAATTTCCGGTAGGATCTTATAAAAATCAATTGGAAGAATTATGCGCTAAAAATACAAAACATCAAGTTAAATCACTTTTAAAAGGTCAAATAGGTAAAGATATGAATGTTAAAAAAGGGGACGTTGATTCAATTACTGATAAAATAGTGAAAGAATTTGAAACAAATAAATCTTATTTTTATATTCATAGAATCTACGTTCAAAAGCATTAACGGGTATTAAACACATTATAACGCATTTAACACACGCATACACATTTACACATGCACTTAAACATTTTTTTACACACGCATTTAACATTTTTTTTTTTACACACGTTGACACACGTTGACTACTTTTTTTTTTTTACAAACTTCTTTGTCACTTCAATTCACACAATTCACATGCATTTTCATTCATAACGAACCAGTTAAATAAATTCAATCGTATAAATAATAATTAAACCTTATTGATTATAACGTAATAAATGATTATTAATGATAATTACTGGTAATAATAGTAATAAACAATAATATATTGTAAAAATATGGTTTCTTTTTTTGTCGATTCCTTTATTTTTTTTTTGTGTATTTCATTGTGTTTCATGTGTAAGTAAAAAAAAAAGAAAGAAAGAAATTTTATTTCATTATAATAATTTTATTTGGTTTAAACAAAAATTGTTGAACCTGATGTCATATTGAACTTCTATTGTATTTATTACAATACAAATATGGTAAAATATTTATTAGGTGAAAATAATGGTAAGCAAAAAATGTAACTGAAAAATAATTTGTAACACATATTCATCAAATAATCAAATATATTGAAAAAATTATATCCACGCCAAAATGATCATCAAAATCATTTGTTACACCAACAATCAAAGAAACTATTATTCGATATTCTTTTTCTTTTTTTTTTTTACATCCCAAAGATCCACCAAAAAAAAAAAAAAAAAA